AATTTAAATAAAATAAAAATTGATAAAATTAAATATAAAGTAAATAATAATCCTTAATCATAACCTTGATATGGTTTTATGGATTGTCATTAAAAAAAAATAAAAATTCTTTTAGAAAATTTTTATTCTTAATAAAACATCACATTTTTATAGTACTTTATTATTTATCAATAAATTTTTTGTCTTACCGCCACGTAGGTCATTTTTAATGAGAAAAATTGTTTTGAGGTCAATATTTTTACCCTCTATATATCATCATAATAATCGTAATTCAAGCCCTATAAAAATCTAAACTTTCATTATGTCGCGTTCTTGATTCGCCCTACCCCCACCAGCAAATAAAAAAAAATAGACTGTAGACATAAAAAAACAAATGTCAAAAAATAAATGTCAAAATTTTTCGACAGATTAATTTTTTTTAATACAAGTTCTAAAACACCCTGTAGCTGTGTTTCACCGACTGAAACATTTTGGTTTTGTTTCCCTTCTAAATAATTACAGTTTTTGTTAATCACAAGCATTTCGGTTTTACAGTAGTTGTAGCTACATGAAAACAAAACGAGCTTAAATTCGAACGGAGTGAAAGCCATAAAAACATAAATCTCGAAGAAAGTGGGTTAAGACGTTTTATCAATCAAAGATCTGCGTACGCTGTAAGCTGTCAATCCACAATGCAATAAACCACTTAAACGTGATTGTGGTGTACTCCATAAAAGTCTTTGTACACTTTCAAAATAATTTACCAACCTTTATCGACTATTTTCCCGAACAAGTTCTTTCCTCGAGGGAAGGCTCTCGTCGAGCAGTTCCAACGCTGATTGCGAAACTGATGTTGGCACTCGTGAATCGCATTATTGGCACCTTTATGTAGAGCCACCAATAAACCGGGGTTTTCCCGAGCTAGACGACGCTGTTTCCGTCGTAGGGTGCCGTGAGCCGACGAAAGATCCATGTAAACGCCCCCAGGAGATATCGGCGACAGATTGTTCGGTTCACCAGCTTTTGCAATGCCCCTGAAAAGAGAATTTTTTTCGCAAAATTGAAATGCAAGGTCGTTACGGCGCGGTAGCATTAAAATAAAGTAATTAATACGAGCGTGGATGCCATATTTCAAGATATAAACTTAGTTCGTACTTAAACGGTCATTAAGTTTAATGCGGCTGTAAATTACATCTAGCATACTAACACCATATACTTATTGCACTACTCGAAAAACAATTTGTATTAAAGGGCGAAATTTATGTTGAATAATTTGAGCGGAAAATTGTGTAAATTGGTATAGGATGCACATACGGGCGGATAAATAATAAAAACTTAAATAGCCAGCCACTTTACAGCTCTATAAATTTAATGAAGCTTTTTAACCACTAAATGCAAGTATCAATTAAATTCCGTACTTGTAAATATAACTTTTTTTTATAAATCTTTTTTGAAAACTCTAAACGAGTTTATGAGAACAGCTAACAAAACAAATTTCTTATTTGGTGACAATTTTCACTCAGTCAAGCAAATATTTGTGTTGAGCTTTTGAACAGGCTATCCCAGCGAGTTGAAAAGTCCATTAGTGACCTTTAAATGGAAGAATTAAAAAAAATTGTATAGGACATCTAGTGCATCACTTAAAATTATTTTCACCTAAAAATAAGTTACAATACAAACCTTTGTTTTTTTTTTAATGAAACACCGTATGTTTTTTCATATTTTTGGATGTTTATAAACTTTTATTAGTCGATTTCGCTTAGTTTTAGAAATAAGACGTTTTTTTGACGAAAACATGCACTTTTAAAAAATTTATTACACAAAAACTAAGCCAGCTAATTTTTTAGTGTTTTGCATTTGTAAAGATTAATAAATTAGGAAGTTTGTTAAAAGTTAAATAACTTAAAAAATTTAAATGGAACACCCTATTTTTTATTTTTGCATCTAATAGATTGATAAATTGTCTATCTAAAAAAATAACTTTTAATGTCTAGAATTGATAAATGAAACGATATTTAAGATTCAATATTAATTGTAGCAACAATGCCTATCAATATTTGAGAATTTTTGATACTACGACAACCATAGTAATTCCACCACGGATCACTTATCCGTTGATTTATCCAGAGATTGTAAAAGTCGTTATAAATACTGAAATTCGAATTATTTTATTGTAAAAATAAACAATAATAGTTTCAGTTTAACACAAATGTGATTATTAAGTGATATTTCTTCCATTTCTTGTGCAACTGTGCACTTTTTGGCTACTGAAACAATAGTAATTATTTTTTTTATGTTTAACGTTAAATCTCTTTTTAGTTATTGATTATAAACACGTAAAAGTAAATAATTTTAGAAAGACAATTTAATAATCTTTTAAATGCAAAAACAATAAATAGGGTGTTCCATTTAATTTTTTTAAGTTATTGAACTTTCAACAAACGCCTTCATTTTTTTATCTTTGCAAATGCAACACACTAAAAAAATGTTACAACATTATAGCTTGTAGATGTCTTAGTTTTTGTGAAATAATAAATAATATAAATAAAACGTGCATGTTTTCGTCATAAAAACCGTCTTATTTTTAATAAGCAAAGCTGGGACAGCCTGTATGTTCAGTTCGAGCGAGCCGTCACCAGTAACTGATAGAATTTGACTAGTGTGTGGGCAAAAAATAAATCCATGCTTCTCATTATAAGAATTCAAAAAATATTCGAGAACGATTCCGATTCCTTGCACGATTTAACAGCAGCCTGAACGTAACCAGAAGAATCTTTATATTAGTCCAGCAGTGGCGTGTTTTTTTGTCGGTCCTGGTGACATACCTTCGGCGAAAGAATCTCAAGATAAGGGGTTAACGTATGGCCGAGACAACAAGAATAGATAACAGTGGATGATCGCCGTTCTCACGCTCCGTTCTTATTTTACCCGTTACATCATTTTTCGAATTGTGCGTTTCGCAATTAAGATTTAGATAGTGTTAAATCTTCACATTCCGAACCATAAAAGTTCATATCTCTTTCCCGAAATTTATAAGCCTATAAACCTGCGAACTGGTCAATTAACATTTCTCAAAATTGAATTATAACAACACGCATTGAAAAAAATCATTAAAATGTTAAAAACACTTGGCTGAAACTAATGTTCTTGTCATCCCTAAATCTCGATCAACCCTTTTTCTATACCATATCGACTCTACAGACAGCTGAAATATTACAACTCTCTACGAGACAAATGAGTGACTAGAATCAAATGTTTCAAACTTAATTTCAATCGGTGTTTGTTTGTTAGAAATGACGACATTTCCAACACAATGCTATTAATTCGAATATAAACAACAGCACTATGGTTAAAATGTCACCATTTCAAACACTCGCAATAAAAAGATTATTGGACGGAAAAAAATTGTAAATTGATTGGTTTTCAGCATGTTATTTGGAGACTGCATCGTGCGCACAGGCGAGCAACCCGTCGCATCGAATTTCTTACAATAAAACACAACAATTTTGTTATTATTAGAAATAGAAACTTTGATTTAAAAAAATTAAACTATTTTTGATTTTTAATTAAATTAAGTTTTGTTTGGAGCAAAATTGGCTGTGGGTACAAGAAATCGGCAGGGCCAATTTTCACGAAATGAGTCGTTAATAGTCCGACCGCATCTTCATGGCCTGACACCGAAGATTTACAGAACTCACTTGGTGCCCATGTAAAGGTTGTCGCGGCGCATATCCATCAAAAGTTGTCAGCTACCAAGCAAAGTGATGAACGATCCTCTCATTCGTCAGTACAACCAACCCAACCCAATTAAAATTCAACAAAAGCACTCCTCATTAATTTAAAACAAATTCATTCTCTCAAAGAAAAGAAAAAACTACGCACCACCACATGGATCCTTTCCCCCGATTTTTGCTTCTGGTGTTAACATCCCCAAGAGCGGTGAGCACAAAGAGATTCATCACGAATATCACTGTCACCTTCATAGTGTCCACCCGCACACACGAACGCAAAAAATAAACAATATTACCTGTATCTGACTATTTACTCAACTCGAGAGGGTAGAGTAGGGGTGGTTATTGTGTCCGAGCATTACCGACCAAATACGAGTCGGTGCCTTAGGAGGAGTCAATTTTTGTTACGACCACCCACAGCAGAGTTCTTTGTGGCACTGAGCGTTGCACTGTGGTGCACGTGTGGTCTTGGACACGTGGACATGCACTCCGCCCAACTGTACAACGGAAGCCAATAGCAACGCGAGGACACGCCCCAAGACAAGCCTTCTCGATGCGAGACCCGCCATTGCGAAAGAAAAATGCGCCGGCCGACAATCGAACGCACAAAGCCTTCTCGACCACGAGACGAAATCTGTCTAACAATTCTTTATATTTGTTCTTTTTCTTACACTCCGACTACTCTTTCGCAAATATGTACATCAATAAAAGTAATATTTTACAAGCTATAAATTTAGAAAAATGCACTTTATAGTCCGAGCAATAAGTAAAGTCTGTTTTTTTTAACGTTGGCATCACTAGTAATTCATTCATGGTAATTTTAATAAAGGAAGTTGGTAGTACCGGTTTTTAAAATTTGAATTTGAAAACAATTAAACGTCAACACAAAAAATCGTCTAAGAAAATTTTGAGACGAAACACCAAAAAAGGAACAAATTTGGTACTGTTGGGGGTTCTTGTTGGTGAATAAAAATGAAATGAAAGAAAACGGATTAAAGACCAAACCATTTTTAATTACACCTCTTTATTTTAAATTGACATAAGAGATCCTAATTAAACATAAAAAAAAATACAAATTAACTCACAAAAGTAACAAAAAATAAAATAAATTTTTAATACTTTTTATTGTTACAAAATTAAACAGGAGATAGAATATTCATTTTTAAAACAAAAATTTTCTATAACATATATCAAGAAATGCTACGCAAGGAGTGCGTCCTTTAGTAGGTTTTTTTTTAATATTTCCGAAATCATTTTAGAAACAAATTTCAAAAATTGGTAAGTACATATGATAACTTTTAAAAAAATTTCAAAATGTGCTACAGATGATAACTTTTATACACCTAAACAAGTACAAAAATAAAATGTTGAAATTTTTAATTAGGGGCTTCCTAAAACTAGATGGAATTAGGGTACAAATTTACTCTAACTATTTTGCCTGTGGTTTCTTGCCACATTCAGCAACAAAATTTCATATTTTTACAATAAAAAATTTCTTTTGTGTTTTTCCGATACAATTTACGAATTTTTATTAAAAATCGGTTTAAAAATTTATGTTACTGACCATAAACAGCATAGCAATTAAAAATTAAATTTGTTTTACCGTTTAGGACGCCCCTGATTAAAAATTTTGTTATTTGGCATTTGTTTAGGTGTACATATAAAGGTATCAAATTTTGTAATTTTATCTATTCTGAAATATTAGGAAAAACCCTTTAAAAAACGTACCTTTTTAGGGGGTGTAGCTTCCTTTCATAGCATTTTTCGAAACACTTTTGTCTTAAAATTAAATATTCTATCAAATATTTAGATTTGTACCTAACAATAAAAATGAAACACTGCATGATTAACCCAAAATTTAAAATTAACTCACTAAAATAACAAAAAAACTAAATTTTTAACACTATATAACAAAGTTCTCAGCATTTCGGAAGGGGTTTGAACCCCCTAATCCTCCCTTAGGGTACGGCCCTGTCAATTGTTAGCAAGAAATTGACTAGAATACAAAATAAACATGGATGAGTAAGAACCTCGGAAAGAATGCAATCAAATTAGAGTCTTGTGCATTGTTTTTGAGAAACGAGTGAAAAAAGTAACAATTTTGAAACTAAAGCTAAAAAAGAATTTATAAAATGCAACAACGTTGAGTTTATTTGAATAAATTACACAAAATTTATTGCCAGTCATCATAATACCTACTTGTATCTTTTGCTAAATGACTTTTTTCTGTATATACATCCTTTTTTTTCAAAATTTTTATAACAAGAACCTCATTTTTGTCCACAACTTGCGGTGTGTTTCTAACAAAAATATTAGCACCGAATTTTGTCTTTAAACTAAGGTAATGATGTCTTTCCTCAGGTATTCAATTATAGCGCTTTCAAAGAGCACACAAGATTCATAAAAGTCAAAATTTTGACAACATCTCAATTTGATAATTTTTTAACAAAATTTCTAGGGACAACAACAAAGAACAAAGAAAATTTTTTCACCAAAATTTTGACTTGGTAATTCCATTTAAAGAAAAACAGACTTTAGGTTCAAATAAGTTCTACCCGGTGATTCAAAAGATTACTGTATTATTTTTGGTAAGAATACCGTTGCGTCAAGGTGCTTGATTCATCTAATTAGCAGTTGAATGAAGATTGGAAAATTTGGTATAATTTTTTTCGGTTTATCATTGAGTAAAAAACTTGTATAAATCTTGCAGAATAACGACGGATGTCTAATGTGAAAGTAATTATTTTATAAATAACTACTGAAGTAGGCACTTACGTAGCTCGAGCATTAATGTCCGTATAAATTACAACACACTATAATTTTCTTTAATGGGTCAAGTTAATACTGAAATTAATGCAGAAATTGCACTAGTGGGTATTTACAACATTTTGCGCGGAATAACTTATTATTTCCGTATTTCGTTAATGCGCTCCCAGGTACAAACATCCTGTAGTGAATTAATGGAGAGAAATGTACATAAAATAAAATTTAATCTGGATTATTGGCAAAGAATGGCAGCGTATAAGCAGCGTGAGAATTGTCAATCAAGAAGGAATTTTAAAAGACAAGATGTGTACCAATTATGGTTCCCAGCAGATCTACACGTGAGATAGAAGCCAACAACAAAACACCTTGCCATTACTAAATTAACACACCTCACTAATAGACAGGATAAATATAGTTGGTATCAATTATGGCTTGATAACATCAAAGAGTCTTGATGGGTGAGTGATTATTAATATCCCTGAAATCTGGGTGATGACTGATGATAAATTTGGCCAAAAACGCCAATGAATGAATGAATTTACTACATCTTATTCTGAGAAATTACTCTAAACCACATGACACATGAATGGGTGACATCTTGGAGTAGATAACAACGATCAATCATAGTGTCAAACTCAAAGCGTGAGCTTGTACGACATTTGGCTTATAGAAATAGAAACATCGTGTTAAAAACTTTCAAGAGCATTTGTCAACTGAAATAAATGTGATTCGTATCGCTCACCCGTACCTGACATCAACCAAAACAACAGCTTAATCACTGTATAAATGCAGTGAACCTATGAAACAATATTTGAACCTCAAAAATGACCTATAAAATGATGTTTGGAACCAAATATTACAAAATTTTGAATGGTTACTTGCGAGAACATACTCTTTAGGCTAGTGATTATGAAAACCGGATACATCTACTCAATTTTCGGTTTCAGCAGTTGCAGGTCACATTTTCTGTGTTTTTCTGTTTTTTTGGCCTCTTAACACTAATATTTTATTACTTAATTTAAAGAGTAATCAATTTCGATTAAAAACGCATAACCTTTTATACCACTAAAATGGACTGTTTTAAAGATATTTTATTTAAAGTGAGAACTGCACAACGCTGAAACTGAAAAATATAAATTTTGAATAAGTGGTATCCACGGCAACCAATGACCATGGTCACATAAATCCCTGCCAGGCATCTGTTAACTTTGACGATAAATTTTTGTGATTTTTTTATGAATTAAATACTACGAGATCCATTTGGATTTATTCTAAGTTATGTTTGGAGTCTGAGTTAAACTCATTTATTAAATATTTTCGATTAATCGTCTAATAATCGTCCAAGTTGATAGATGCCTGACAGCAAAATATGTGACCATGGTCATTTGTTGCCGTGGATATCACTCATTCAAAATTCATACTTTTTGCTTTCAGTGTTGTGTAGTTCTCATTTTAAATTAAAATATCTTTAAAACGGTCCATTTTAAAGGTTATGCGTTTTTTATTCCGAATTGATTACTCTATTGTTTTGACAAAAAAAAATAATGTTAAAAGACCAAAAAACGAAAAAACACAGAAAATATGACCTGCAATTGCTGGAACCGGAATTTGAGTAGATGTATCCGGTTTTCTCGCAAGTAACTATTCCAAATTTTATAATTTTTCGTCAAATGGTTCCAAAGTTATTACAAAAAAACAAACAATTTTCATACCCACATTCCGAGGGCTGTAAAATTCTTATCAGTAGAGATAGGACACGAGTTATTATTTAAATTAACATCATTTTATAGCTTATTTTTGAGGTTCAAATATTGCTTCATATTTATGAATAACCCTGTAGGTATATTTTTTCATATTTATTTAGTAAAGGTACAAAAACTTTGTCAATAAAAGCTACAAATAACGTTTTAGACATAGTTACAATTCAGGATACAGCTTCTTTGTTTCTTCTTCTAACAGTCTGTAGGAAAAGAACAAAATTATTTTTCTAACAGAAATAAATTGGGTCAAAGTGCAAAATGTAAACCTGCGTAATTTTAAAAGTCTTACAGATAACTTTTTTTTCTATTTTTTGTATTGGTAGAAACAAACTGCAAGTAAGTATAATGTTGAGCTTAAAAATGAGCTTTTTGCTACAAAAGTTTTAATGAAAAGGTTGTCTATACAGAAAAAAGTTATTTTGCAAAAAAAATACATGAACATTGGCAATAAATTTTGTATAATTTATTTATACTTCAGCTTTAGTTTCAAGCTTATTACATCATTTTTAAGGTTCAAATATTGCTTCATATTTATGAATAAGCCTGTATGTAGAACCACAAATTTGATCCGTTTGATGATTAATGGAAAGTCTAGGATGACAAAGAATCAAAGCTCATGAGTCACGTTATTCATTTGGCAAAAAGTCGAGTCCGGTGATTTTATTAATAACATAATAAATTGTAGTTGTTAAGTTTCCATATAATTTTCCGACATTTGTTTCGTCGAATTCCGTTCAGTAAGTGAAGTAGAGATTTCAAGCGAGTCACCGCATGACGCGCAACTTTATAATTGTAAAACTGTTGATGATATATTAATGCTTCTTTCAGCTCTCACTAGGAGTGCATATTGTTAATAAATCCATTTATAATTGCTTGTGAGAAGCTGCTTCAACATTAAA